AACTTGTAGCATTCCGCCACAATTTAATTCTTCGTATTATTAGCTAATTTTATTAAGTCAAAAATAACTTACATTCAGAGAGAATATTGGACATTCATCAAATAAAATAACAAAGTGATCAGTCTGTGCTGAAGCACGTTGGGGATGAAAGTTGGCAGTGAAATCTACAGTTTTAACTGACATTCTGTAAGAGACAAATTTAAAGTACAATTGCCTATAATGTTTTCTCTAATTAGTCTAAATATCTTCAATGTAAACCAAATAATGACAATATGGTAAGAACAAGTATAGATCTATAGAAGGTTTTTATCATATAAGCACAATTAACATCTTAAAAACCATAAATCATTGAAATTAAAATGGATCTACAAATTATGCTTTTATTTAAAACTTGATGTTGGTAAGAGTTTCCCCTCTAAGCTGTGAAAACTAGCAAAATTATTTTTTAACAGACATGAAAAAAAAATTTATAATGAGGTTTTTCACTCTAAGCTGTGAAAACTAGGAAAATTATTTTTTTAAAAACAGACATGAAAAAAAATTATAATGAGGTTTTTCACTCTAACTGTGAGTAATATATTCATTACTGAAAACCAACATTATTAATTTGAAAAACTTTCCAAAGAACAGACATAATTAACAAGAAAATGAAAAAAGAATTTTTCTTATTAAAATTCACATCATGTTACTGAATCACCGAGGAGTCATTTTTTTAGTTATAATAAAACATTTTGTATTTGTTCTTCATAATTTTCTAAATAATGAACTAGAAATCAATAGTTTTTTTAAAGAATAAATGAGAGTCATAACAGAGAAGTCCAGCCTGCACCATACCTATGTGTAGAAGACAAGACAGCACCAAAATGTACATTTCCTCTCAACCTTGTATGAATATTAAATAAGCTTCTTTCTTGGCTATTTGTGTTTGGTTCACTAGATTTTCTCTCACCTAAAGAAACAAATTTCCATGAACTATGTAGTACAATTAACAGTTTTTAGATTCTTTACAGTGCAAGAGAGAGACATATTTTTAACTTCAGACGAGCAGAATACCAATTTCTGTAGATATACACATTATAGCTTCACAGATATTACAGTGGATTACACCCCTTTTCATAACTCTTTAAATCATTTTACAGTGGACTACATTCCTTTCCAAAACTCTTCAAGGCACTTTACAGTGGCCTATATTACTTTTTATAACTCTACAAGGCACTTTACTATATTGCTTTTTATAACTCTACATGGCACTCTCAATTTGACAACACTGAATATCAAAACTCTTCAAGGTATGTTAAGCACATTAAATTTATTTCCATAACTCTTCAAAGTACTTAAGAAGATATTCTCCATTTTACAACCACTTATAACATCATGGCTACAAATTTAAGAATACCTAATCTCTTCTTTGAAGAACTATCACAAGAACACAAAGTTTCAGAATTTCTAACAACTAACCTTTAAAGAAAGTCATCAATGCTAACAGTTCCTTAGCTAATGTGAAAGTTGTCATATGAAGATCAGTGCTCCAGAGACCAGTGATCTCATCCAGTAACTGAAAGTTCACTTCCTTCTAATGAGAAAGGTTTTAATGTTTTATTGCACTATTAACAGAATCATATATAACTGAATATTATTACATGAAGAATTTGAAATCACAGACAAAAAAGAAAACTGGAACCCACAATAAACATTAGAACCTTTCCTTGTAAGATCCAAAACATATTTACACCCTCTGAATTCTATAAACATTGACAAGCCAGAATATAAAATTCCAACTTCTTATCTTCTTTCTTTACTGAGATATCACTATATTTGTTCAACCCCTTCCATCTTTTTCTGTCTTTCAAGAAATGTCTATATTTTCTCTGACATTGCTATTAGATATGTTTAAAACCAACAGAAAATGCATGTTCTGAACTACATAAGTCAAATGATTGTCTAGTTTGTTTTTAGGAATCAAAGCTCATAACTCGCGAGGAGAGCTTGATAGGTTTAAAGATGTTGCTTCGAGCAGCAATGGAATATTTTTAATTGATTTAGAGCTTAAATAGAAAGCCAAGTAAATTATAGTAGGTTTAAGACATTATATTCTAATGCCTGATATATATTTTATGATTTAAAATGCATATTTGAAGGCTACATAAATCAGTTTTTGGACAACCAACACATTAAGAAAGATATAGGTTTAATATACCACACACTCAAGTGTAAAAGGCCTCAACGTTAAAGTAAGTACAAAATTTATTGTTTTTATGCTTATTTTTTATTTACTGTTATACATTTTAAAACAAAAGTAACTAAAATGCAAAAATCAGAAACACATTTGTTTAGATAACAACAAGGAAAAAATTAAATAAAAAATTTCACGAGACCAACTCAAGTAAGCTGTGTCAAGTGATTGTAACTTGACTGGTTGTTTACACTAAGTTTTCCCACTTTGGTTAATTGCCTGTTACACTTAGATAGGGTCTAAAGAGCATTGTAAAGTAATAGAATTAAAAACAAGCAGATTTGGAAAGCTGAGGCTGTAAGGATAAGTAATTGTAATTATATGTTACAATCTGGAATCATTCAAGCATGGTTCTAGTTAACCCAAACTCCCAGGTCCCATACGCACGAGAAATTGTCGGGATGCACAGTTAGAAAGCCAGAAAAATTGTGATAGTTATGGAACATTGTTCACTTTTTTCACATTATTATTCCATGTTCTGTGGTGCATTATTTAATTAAATAGAAATTATTTAATGCAGTAGCACAATTAGTATAAAAAAGTAGGGTTAAGATTCATCAACAGTCAAGAACAAAACAAAAAGACCCAGGTAAGTACTTTATTTCTTGTTTTTCATGTGTATTCTTTATTTATTATTATTATAAAAGTAACTAAAATGTAAAAATTGAAAATTTTTTTAGGTTAGCTAAAGTAAAATAAATAATAAGTATTCATGAGGTACGCCCACAAGTAGTTCATGCATTATGTAATTTGAAACCGTAATGTGAGCTGCACGTTTGCCACGTGATTTGCAATTTATATGGCATGAATAATAGTTAGATATGGTTCAAAGGGCAATAAAACAATAAAATTCATGTATAAATAGATGTATACTGTTACAAGTTTTAAGCTACTTAGGATAAGCAATTGTGATTTTCTGTTACAATTTACATACATTCCAGAAAGAAAATGTAGGAAATTTACAATTATTTCTATATTTTTAATGGTGGTTACGAGGTCGGTCAAATTAACCGACCTCATATACAGTTAGGGTGAAGAAAATAATAGTTAAAATATAAAGATCTTCTGAAAGAAACAAAAACGTTTGATATTTATTTAGGAGGTTTTAGGGGTTATGAAAATTATATTTCAAAATTTTTAATCTTATCAAGAAAACTACATTTCACTAAAAGGGAAACAACATGCAGTGTAAATTGTAAATAAAGTTTTTCATTAACATGCTTTTCCACATGCAGAAAGTAAACATGTAGTATACATTATAAATAAAGTTTTTTTAACAAAATTTTCTTTCTTAGTATTAAAATCACCTTTCACTTAGAGTAACTCAACAAAGGCTACTTAAATTTAGACAAATCTTTGGTACAAATACTTTACTAAAAAAAAATCTGATTTTTATGTACAGCATAAAAATAACAACATCCAAAATCACACTATAATATTACAAACAAGTTAAGAACATAACCACCCACCATCCATGCTAGAGGACTGACTGTCACTCTTATAATGCACCCACAGTAAGGATTTGAATCTGATTCATCAGCTCTAAACTTCAGAGCCAACCCATGCCCCACTTGAAAAAGTAAAATTTTTTTTTTTTTAACAAACAAACAAACTTGGTCACAGCAGCAACTTATAGACCATAATGAAGTACATAAAACTTGTAACATAATAATTTTAACTGTTTAAATTTTCATTCAATATCACACATACTCTATACTTGGAGAATAACACTTACTTTCTTATTTTATAATATGCCGAACAATTCTTTAACATTACCTTAGAGTGGTTTTTGTAGGTCAGGTGCACTGTTTTCAAATGCAGTACACTGTTTTTTATATCTGATGATCTCTGACAAAACACAGGCTGTAAAAATGAATACAATAATTTAACACTCAAATAACAATAATGAAATAACTTTGGTACCTTCATTACAAAAAAGGCAGAGTTCAAAACATAAAATTAGTTAATATTTCAGCGAGAACCAAATAAAAGCACTTTTAAACTTATTTTCCTAAAGTGAATTAAACTACATTCATGAAATATCAAAATAAATACTGACGAGTGTATTTAGTACAGTAATTGTTATTGTTATAGGCAATATTGTTAAAAGACAATACAGTTCATTAAACTAGTATCTTCAGCTTAATTCTTATGTCATATATATATAATACAAATATAAAAAAGAAAATACTTATCATACAGTAATTTAACCAATTCAATACAATCATGAAACGAATAACAGATACAATGACAAATGCTTACTATTACAAATTTTTTTTCTGGCTGCTAAAAAAAATTCAAACTGAGATAAGGAAGGTGGGCCAATCAATTTACATTAAACAATTCATGGACGAGTTTCTATAATGCTTAAGCTCTGTAAGATCCTCTTAGGATTGTCTTTACAAGTTGTCCATTCCTAAAAATGAATTTTCAGTATCTGAAATGTCTTATTATTAAATTTCATTTTCAATTTGTTTTTAAACTTTATCTATAATCATACAATCAATACATGCATTCTCAGCTTGTTCTCTATTTCCAAGAAAAGTACTTTATATAACATGTTGAAAAACAACACAGGATTTGTTGGTCCATCTAAGCCACCCCATCCACTAAACTAAAAACACTCAAAGCCAGTTCTTATCATTCAAACATTTATCAAGTCTTCTCTTAAAAATTCACATTTGTCTCATAGTCTTATCATTCAAACACATATAAACAGATTAATCTTTATGTCTTAATATATTTTTATCTATTAATGTGATGTATTTAATATTAATTCAAACATACAAAAGTAAAACAAGCAAGTTATAGAATCACTACATGCTAAAAAAACAAAAACAAAAAAACTGTTCATAGCTTTTACAGTTTAATTCTGAAACACTTTTTTTTTGTTAATTTTTGACTGAAATTTATAATTATTTTGTATCTGGAACATATAATCCTGATCTTGTTTGATTAAAATGATCTTTCACATTAATTGATAAGCTTACTTCTACATTAAGTTACAAGCCTACTTTCACA